CACTTCATAGGGACAGTTCCCTTGTAATAGACTCAGTTGTCTATTCAAGTATCAGTCTTAATCTGAAGCTTTGCTTTAAACAGTATACGCCCCTCACAAACCACTATCAGATATAGCTGGCTCAGGTTTGCACTCTAGTACCAGCGTAGGACTATAGCGTGTATAAGTCCTAGTAACAGTTAATCAGTTGAACTCCTGATCCTCAGTCGTTAGGTCCCTTAACAGCTAACTCATAATTAGTGTATGGTACCACTTTAGATTTATTATCTAATTGTTTGTACATGTAGTATCCTCCTTGTGTATATAAACCCCTAGGTAGAACACTTAATGTGAGTGCTTTGCTCTCTCTCTTTCATCCTTGTCTTAGTGTCTTCACAGACATCTATGACAACTCTTAGCCTTCTTACTTGCCTTGTGTTCTAGTCAAACACAGGTAAGGTCTAGCCACATTTATATTTCAACAGTCCAGTCATCAGAGTGGCCATGGTGGGGGCAGGCAAGTCTGGTGGTATTAGGGAGCGTTCTTCAAGCATAGCCTTAGCCTGGAGGAGTGTAGGGCAGCACATTGTAGTACTTCATGTGTGGTCAGGAGTTGCCCTGGTGGAAGTATGTCAGGAGTGTACATCTGTCATTGCTTTTGCAGTCATAGCAGCATGTGTTGTCTTAGACTCAGTCATTATGAGTGTTGAGGATGGCACAAGGGTTCTCATCTTTGGCAACATTTTCCTTTCTTGTACAGGGAAAGACAGGCTGCTGGCTGCTACACTATTACCTCTGTTTTCTGTTGGCAGTATGTCTATGTGCCCTGAAGACCTTCAGCTCGAGTGCACGCCACGTCAGTCGGCCCTCCTACAGGTCGCTGAGCGTGGGAAAATCGCCCGAGGCGAGGGTAAGAAGCAAAGAGGAGTCCAGGAGCTGAGCTTGACCTGTATAACGCCAACGTTCAGCGCGACGCACCGTGGGGTTGATGAACCCAATTGGACCTGGTTTCCGGTGTCCAACGTGCACTTTTCTCTAGCCAGTCGAAGCGCCATTCCGTTTTGCATCACAGGTCGGTGGTATGTGGCTGATGAAACCTCGGGCGAGTGCTGCACAGATCTATCACTTTACCCTGCAATACCTCGCATCTTCCGCCTGCATTTTCGAGGAGTATAAAAGCTGTGCATATTTCCTTGTGCAGTGCTCTCCGAATCATGGCTGGATGCTTCCTCAGCAGCACATTACCGGGCTGTGCTTCTGCCTTATTTCCCTGTAGCGCTTGCATTAGCAATGCTCTTACTGTTCCGCTCACCGGTCCTCGCTACCTGGCTATGACTTGCATCCAAAGCTCTGCATACACCTGACTATAAATATCGGGCCTTGTGTCCATACCTCCTTTACCCATATTCTTTCCACTCGTTCCTGCATATTTACCTACATCCTCCGCCATCACCACTGGTACAATGTGCAGTAGGGACAACACAGATAAGCAGCTTGATCCGCTTGAGTATGTTCTTCGTCGTCGATGTGCGCTATACAAGTACTGATCCCCTTCTTAGCAAAGTCGATTTTAACCCTGTTTTAGCTATGCCGTCAGGCCACATTTTTCCTCTCGTTAACACAGAGGAGGGATATGTGTATGTGCACGTGGCATAATGCTCTGGTATTCTCACATTCCTGACGATCAAGATATAGATACGGAAGCACGACTAACAACGCACTCCAGACTTGCCGAGACGAGTTCGTTAATCCTAGTCTCTTGTGGGCTGCAACGTGAGTATAGGCTTTGCCCCAAGTGTGGCACGAGTCGCCGTCAATCATTTACGCTGTTTCCGCGCAGCGAGCATTCATACGCACATCCCGCGTACAACTGGCCACAGGACACGTACGATGCTGGCGCTTCCATCCCACTAGTTCCTGTCCCCGCCGGAGTTCCTCTTACGGAAGGAGAGGCAGACGTAGCAAGCGTGTTACTCAATTCTGGAAATGCGCGCTTTGAGGACAGGCAGGGTGTTCCTCTACCCGTCCGGCATGGATTTCAAGATGCTGATGATCCGTTCGACAGGTAAGAGTGATACCCATCGACATCCCGGAAAATCACTATCAGAGACTAATGGAGCTCCTCCAGGCACGCACAACACATGCTCGGGCATGGGGAAGCACTTGACCCCAGACCGTTGCGCTTCATACACAAAGGTTGTGGCATACCCTGTGACAAAGGCATGCATCTATTCGATCCATCATATTTCGATGCCAAATATGATTCAGAATATCATCTGTACGAGCTTTCTACCTTTTATCCAAGCTTCCAGATGTCATGACGCCGCCGACACCCCTGCTACAGGCGTCTCTTTGAAGACAGCGAGCGCGTTCGCTACCTGCTCATCCCGCCGGAAGTTGCCGCCGTGTACCCCGCCCCGCGCATTCCCATCATTTTTATGACAGATGTAGGGGCTGTTTCGCCCACGTCCGTTCCGCCTCAAGCTGATTCATCTTCTGCACCGCACGTCCCCCCAGTGTTCCAACTTACCGCCCCGGCCGAAGATGCCCCGCTGTGCATCTCGAATACCGTAGACGGTCTCTCGGGCGTGGTATCGCCAAAGACCTGCTTGTGGAACGGATGCGGTGCGCTGCTGGCGGACCTCTCGCAGGCGGGCGTTCGACTGCACTTTGAAGAGTGCCACGCAGGCGATGGTGCACGGGCAATGTGCCTTTGGGAGTGGTGCGGGAGGGAGATGCAGCGAAGGAACCTGGTCAAGCACGTATGTGGTGTGCACCTCCGTATGATGGAGGTCGCCTGCGTGCGCTGTGCGCGCGTCTTTTCTCGGGTAGACGCGCTGCGTCGTCACGAGGCGAGGTCGACAGCCTCACCATGCGACGGTGTATGTACACCGAATTCTCTTGACATTGAGTGAGACGAGAGGTCAGCGTTCTAACGTGATCCTGACGAAGTATTATAGGACACGTTGACCACGATGCCGAGATTTGCATAGTGCAATAATATTGATGAAGTAGTTTTAAGTTTTCTTTTCTGGTGCCTTGGGAGCTCCACCTAAGTCAATCTATATGCAACATACTGGAAATGGCGGCAGCAACCCTGGCATTCGACAACAAAACCGGAAGATGCTGTATAGTGAGTACAGGAAATTCCGAACCTCGGTTGGTGGGGTGCATTCATTCTGAATGTTTGACACTTCCATGAAACCCTTCTCTGGCGTTCAAGTCAAGCAATAATAAATCCTGACATCGCTACCCCATTCAGACTGTCTGATGCAGTTCGATAAGCCATACCAGGTCCGGAGATGTTAGGCGACGTGTTGAACCCCCGAGTTTCGTACTCATCTGCCCCACGCTATATCCAGAGCAGGCGCCACAATGTGCGTGATCTGAATCACAATCGTCTCCTTATGGCAGGATGTGTATGGGTCTGGATGGCGTACGGCATACTGCTGCGGCATACACACAAGCAGGCAGGCTTTGGCCTGCTTTCTCCGCGCCGCACCAAGTGTTCTAAATGATCGCTAATTAACTGGCCATGGCGGGGGTTCACATGGCAGGCGCATTTAGCTGTATGGTTGTACAGAACGAAGGCAGGATAGCCAGTTCTGTGGCCAATGTGAAGGTTGGGTCTCGCAGAGGAATCCAGGGTCATAATTCTAGCCGGTAAGGTTACACGTCATGCAAATACTAGTAGATTCTGTACTCGTGACTTGGATCAGGAATTGCTCGACCAACAAAGACTAGGGCGACTACTCGCCGACATTCCGCACAACCTAAATGAC